AAATTTTAATTAATATAAGTAATCATCATCTATAATGTTGCCACTGTTCCCAATATTGTGTAGTTTGCATTTCAGAAAGTCGTGATATAGTGCGATCAAAAGCAAAAAGTTCTTCTTCTCCAGTAAAAAGATTAGATTTGTGATCGTCCTGTTAATAAAATAAGATTACGAAATCATTTAAAAACAATTAAGAATAGCACTTTTCATTATGTAACATACTGAGCCATGTGATATTTTTAAATCATCCATTAACATTCGTTTTTCGTCTGTATATTCATTCTCTGTGTCTGGTACAAAAAGATCTGTATGTGGTACAACTGCAGAAATAACAACTCTCACCTAAAATATTTTGTTTATTTATAAATAATATTTGCAGTAATTAAAATGATTAAATTCTAATTAAATAGAAATACAACGTTACCTTGTTATCATATAACGTGTCGATTAATGTAATAAATCTTCTAGTTTGCGATTTACATTGAATACCTAATTGTGGCACATCTCTTATAATAACAGTATGAAATGCTTGACTTATTTCCAAATAGTCACTAGCACCAAGTGGCTATAAATAAAAAATAATGTCTTATACTGTTTTAAAAGTTGGGGAAAAATGTAAGGCAACTTACTCTATCACATAACTCTTCAAAGGTTGAATCCAACACTTGACCACATGTTCTTTCAAAAGTTACATTACGACCTCTTATGTTAAGAATTCTTGACCTCACAACGTCATTTTCCTTTGAGCATAAAAATTTAAACACCTTATCTATCTTATCACTTGTTGCCTCCTTTCCTTTTCTACAATAAATAATTGTACTTAGAAAACATTTTTTAATACATATTCTACATATGAATATTTTTACATACATGAAATAAATCTTTTCATCTCTAAGTCCTGTTTTTAATCTATAATCTATACCTGAATCTAAAGAATTTATAATACAATAATTTTTTAAGATTTGTATAAATGGAATAAAATTTCCTCGTTGTAAACCATTTTTGTATAAATCATCAGGTGCTCTATTACTAGTTGCAATGACTATTACACCATTATTAAAAAGTTCAGTAAATAATCGTTTCAATATCATAGCATCTGCAATATCAGTTACCTATGATATATAAATTCTATTAATATATGTTATGTTAATTCATGTATAACTGGTTGTATGTTTCACAATTAGACCTGAAATTCATCGAAACAAAGTAACCAAGCTTCTTCGGTAATACTTTTGGCAACTGGTGGTATTGGATCAAATGGTTGAAGTTTTGTACTACTAACATCTCTTACAATATTTTTCTTTACTTCATGCACTTTATTGTGTACATCCGCCATAAAAGAATGAAAATGAACTCTCTTTTTATTTTCAATCTAAAGTAGTGTTTCAAAATAATTACTTATTTGGTTTTTTAATTTAGAAAACTTATTTTATAATGTACTGCATATGGAAAGCCATTTGTAGTACCTTAATCATAGTTCAAACATTTTCTTTATATCATTATCTCCCCTACATAAAGTAAATCCTTTGTTGCAGCAAATATTTTATTAAATGTATGAATTATGCTGAAAAATATTATGAATTGTCATAATGGATAATCAATAACATACATTTTGGCTTCCCATGTGCAATACTTACATGAATTGCAAACTGAGATACCTGGCAGCATTGGTAGAAAAGATCCATCAACATTGTTTTACCTCCACCAACTGCTCCATAAAGATATAATCCTTTTGGTGGTTGTTTCCTTTTTCTACCAAGCCATTTGTCTAATATGTTAAATTCTTCTGGTTTATATCCCTTTATTTCTTCATAGATGCCTTGCAATGTTTCAGCAACTTTCATTTGATGTTGATCTTTCATTAGCTCTCCTTTTACTAATTTATCCTGCAGGACACTAATTGGTCCTTCTTTGGTTTCAGCAATATCATGAACATATACATGATTTGGTATAAAATCATAATTTGGTTGAAATCTTAGCAGCAAATTTGTAAAATGGTTTTGACTATGAAATTTTCTTGGTAGCAAAGAAATCATTATAGATGAATATATGCTAAAGAAAAGGTCATAATTTATTACTTATATATATTATTTATACGTATTATTAATTATCAGATAAAAGAAATGTTCATTCTTACAGACAAATGTTTGGCAAATATGCATTTAATTTAAAAAATCAAATTAAATTGACCACATGCAATAGAAATTTGAAGTAGACACAATTAACGTTATTCACGTATTCAATCGAATTTACGTTTGACAGACAACCAGGTGATACATGATAACCTTTATATTACGTATGAAAATGTATTATACATATCTACCTTAGAATAGAACACACACACCAGGAAATTTAGAAAGGTAGGTGTGAAACATCACATTACAGGTATGAAAAATTAAATGATTGAGAAAGATATCATCAAAGCATATCACTTTCCCTTCCTTATGTTCTTATCATTATATTGTAATCAATACCATCGTGATATTTTAACATTACTAAATGGAAATTTAGTAAAAAGTGAAGTTCAGTTTTTGAATCTTATATCTATCGCGCGTAATGTTATGACGTAATTAAAAAAAATGTGAAACCATCGGATCTCATGTGCATTAATGATCGTTCATAAGAGCAATAGTAGGAAATGCGTAAAACCTTACTCACAAGATAAAATACAGTTTGATGAAAACAGGCACGAAAAAAACAGCCTTCATCTTTCAACATTTTAATAAAATAAATACTTTATTCCCTTAATATATGTAATTATACGAGAAGTTAACCATGAAATGTATAACAGTTTTTAATATTTTATTAAAAATGTTTAATACAATTGTATTTCATATAAATATATACTTCATACAAATTAGGAATGTAATATGAACTGAGAAATTTAGGTACAAAAGCTCTAGTAATTTTAAAATAAATTTGATAAATTTCCTGAATTTTCAATCATTATGATATATTTTTGAGCTATATGGAGCATTATATATTGGCAGTCTTCGTTTGTCAGGGCTGATTCCTTCTCTTGATGAATAATAGCGTCTCTCAATAACTTTATCAAAAAACCTGCTCAATTTAACAGATGAGCTAGAACCAGCAGCTAGGGATCTCACTTGACGGCAATCCTGTAAGAATAATATTCACTTGAAGCAAATAGCATTAATATTTAATAGTTTTACAGAACAACTAAGATACCAAAAATATTTCATCAGCACCACATTCCTCTGCAATAGTTGAAGAACGTCTATGGACACTTGATCTCACTTCTGCAACTAGGTCTAATTTAGTACCAATAACTAAAATTGGTATCTAGAAAATCATATTTAATTTACATAAGATGACACTACAAAATTATATATTTAGTGATAATTTGTTCTACCTGAGTGGACCCTACAAATTTTTCTGGATCAAAATCATCAAATGGCTTTGATTTCATATAATTACTATCTTTACTCAGAACTTCTTCAAGCCATTTTTGAAGATTCTGCTGTGACTTTCTGTTTGTTAAATCATGGACTAATATGATACCTACATCATTAATAATGACATAATTATGAAATTCCTACATTATACATTTAGCATTAATCGCATATTTTATACTTATACCATTTGTAGGATTATAAAAGACAGATCTTGTATTTTTGTGATTCTGACTTCCACCAACATCCCATAATTCAATAAAGTACCTCCTCTGATTAGGAGTTCCTTCTTTATATTCATGTAATTTAACTTCTACTGAACAACCTATAGTCCATGAAGGATTATTAATAGGTTGTTGCTGACATATTAAATGCGTCAACGATGTTTTTCCAACACCTAAAAATTGAAAGAAAGATATTATTTATTAAATTATAAAAATTCATATTT